ACGTGATTATTCAAACAGAAATATAATCTCAATTTTCCTCTCACGCTATGTTGGTAAATCGAATAAACGAAAACGAGATCAAGAACGTATTCACGGTCGCATCATGCTCATGTTTTGTGCCACATAATTATGTTTTTAAAAATCAATTTAAATCAATCTTTTTTTTTAATTAAAATAATCGAAATAAGTTTTACTATTTTGTAAAATAAAATAAATTATATAAAATACTACTTTTTGCATGTGAAAGATGCAAAAATATAGGATATTTCCAAACATATGAATAACAATACTCTCTGTAATATCAGATAAAAAAAACTTTCCTCCTAATTTTATATATAAAATAAATATAAGATCTGCAGTCAAATAATAAATACCCTGAACTTATTATACTCTGAAATATTATGATCATTTAACTGACCTAAAAAAGCTGGACTAACGTCATAGAATTAAAAGCGTCGCGATTTAAGAACGATTCAAAGGATAAAGTTGTGAGTCACGCTCATTTAATTCAGCACTGTGTCACGAAAATCGATCAAGTGGACAAAGTAGGAGTTGTACCGATACCACCAATTACAACTGCATAAAAAGATTGCTCTTAAAAAGTCACCTGTCGCGTTTTTAGAAACATTATTAAGAAATTCCCTCGCTGCTCGCTGTATGTATAGCTCACATACAATGGAATTATGTTAGCTAAACTACGGAAGTTTTACATTTGTCGCCTTCCCAGAAGTATAGTTGAAAAGTTAATAAAACTTTGCACACGATACGTCTAGCACTATTATAGTCAATAATTTGTCGTGCACGTGTACAAGGAAACAGTAATTTCCTGCCGGGACAATGGCGAAGGAAAATAGAAAACTCGACAGCAATACGGGACTACTGATAACACCACCATAAAAAAAAAATTGTTGCGTTGCTAATTGTAAGCTGGAAATATTGCGTACGATACAGTGTTTCAGTCATAATTATCGTATCGTGAACAAAGAAACAATAAACTAGATGGTAAATGTTAAAATAAGTGCAATTTCAATATTTTTAATAATATTACATTGAAGTATGTTATCAAAAGTATAATACAGAAGTACTGAAAATGTTAGACTCTAATAGTAAATAATTAAATTAATATTAGTAATTCTAATAGTTTTATTATACATTCATTTTGAAACATAGAAGTTTCTATAAAAAAAATATAGTTAATTTAGATTTAAAATGCTCATGTTACGATGAATTGTTATTATTTATAAAAATCTAATAATTGAAATTGTCTGAAAATATTTTATTTCTTCCAATTATTTATGTACATATGTATGTACACATAATTATTTGCATATAACTATAACTTATCTATAATTGGATTACAGTTATTTGCAATTAACTATGATCACCTGCAGTTATTTGTGCGATTATTTAATGATTTTATACTTTTATCTATAGTTTTCCACAATTATCTGCAATTACTCGCAATTATATTTAACTAAAATTTATCCACTAGCGATTAATTGGACTTATTTGCAACAAATCATTGCTATTTGCTAAACCTAAGCCAAAATCCCAGCATTGGAACATTCAAAAATCCTTTACACCATTACTTGTATTTCACAACAAATATTAATTTGAGATATAAAACATAAGATATAAAAAATTTATAAAAGAAAAGAATAATAAAAATATTACTTACATATCGAACATGGACAATGCATGGACTTCGTTGGAGGCTGTTTTAACAAATTGTTGACGACGATATAATTGGGATGGAGATAGAGAACGTAATCTCCTTCTGTAAGGAGTTTCAGTACGTATCGCAGGAAGATATTCACTAGTTTGAGCATCCGATGATATTACTTCGACATCAGTAACTTTTTGAGCAGCCACGTCTTTCGTTTTGCGATGAATTCTTATCTGTAATGCAAGCATAACATTTAATAACATTTGTAGTTCACCATTCTTGTATATTAGATATTTAGTATATTAAAGATAATATAGTACCCGTGATATGTTTTTATCATTATTTTCTCCAACTTTATTATATCCATATGTTAATGTGGGAGCTGGTTGTAATGGCCGAAAAGAATTTTCATCCACAATTCGCCCTTCTCGATCCGAAGTGTTATATCTGAAAATTTGAAAAAAGAAAGAACATTTAAATGCTTAATATAAACATTTTCTTAATATAAATTACATATATCTTTTATTTATTTTATAAAATTAATCATATTTACATATTATGCATGACAAATGTTTGTTGATGAATATTTCTTGATGATGATTGATGACTCTCTATGGAATTTGAACGAGGATATTTAGATTTGAAATCAGATTTCCTTGAATATCGACCTCTTTCCATCAACTTTTGATAAACTCTAGAATTACCGTCCGAAAATTTTTGACTTGTACGTTCATTTGAATTCTGGAATATTCATTACATTCTTGATTATTATATATGTAATTCTTGTATTTTACTATTAATATTAGTATTTAGCAAAAATACTTACATTACTATCTACATTTGTATTATTTATGTTTTTCATTGATCGATAACTGTCATAATGCATACTTGTACTATTTTCTTGTTGGTTTCTTCTTCTTTGATGATACATAGTCCCACAACTCCTATTAATATTTCACTAATTGTAATTTAAAATTTAACCCACTTAAAAAATGTCATTGATTATTTTGAAATTTCAATATCTATTTAATTATCTATAATTATCTGCTAATTATTCTATAGATCTTATAGCTAACTAGATCTATCCATTTAATCATAAAATATCTTTATGTTTTTTTAATTAAATCAGTGTTAATTCAAATTTTCATACAATTTTCTATTTTTTTCTTTGAATAAATTAATAGATGACAATAGTTAAAGTATAGTACCTAACGTTTTCTTCTTGGGAACTTCGATCGCTAGAATTTTCTGTTGTGTCCCTTAATCTTCTCTTCAAGTTAATATTTATTAATTCTAAATTAGACGATTTATCCATTAGCAGGCCGCTAGACTTTGGTATATATTCTCGAGTATAAAGTACAGGAATCTTAGATTCTGTTTTGTTATTGTTTTCCTGAAACGTACACATGTTCAATTAATGCAAGTCAGTATAATTATTATTACTATCATGTATCAATATATTTTATAAAGTTTACCTTTCGCTCAAAATTATTTTCAATGATATTACGATAATTCCCAGATTCTCTCGTGGTAGAAATTTTTGTCTGATTTCGAGATTTTACGTCCACATTAAAAGTATCACCTAAAAAGTATTAAAAGTATTAATACACACGTACTAATTAATATAAAAAAATTGGTATTGTAATTCGTACCATCACGGATACTCGTATTTATGTTTCGATTTGCTTGCAAATTCAGTTCATTTTCACATTGCATATCCTAAAATAAAAAAAATATACATATTTATGTACAATTATATAAAATTATATAATGTTTCATAAATTATTATAATTGTTACAAATATACATTATAATTGTTTGTTATAAAATTTCAAATACTTTTAATTAACGACATATACTAACCTGAAATATTTCTAATAAATGAGTAAAATTCAAATAGGACATAATACCAATTGATCATTACTAGAACTATTCCTCATCGATCTGTAAACGCGACTTCCGCGCGAAATTAAAAAATAATAGTCTAATACTGCGAATGAATTTTCTCATACCTACTTACTCGATAAATGAATAAAAAAACGCGGCGAATGTGTATTTTCAACATAATCTCTTGAATTTGTTCACAGACAACACGATTAGCTGTTAACATAGATATTGCAAGTCATGATCTACACACATATTTATTTATTAATAGAATATTTAGCATATGGATGGAAAGTATAATATGATGAAATAGTTCAGTTGACTGTGACACCATGATTTAAATTTCTATAAATGTAATTCCAGGGTAAAATCATGCCCTGATTTGACATGATTACATTTCGCAAGCGGAGTTGACTTCGTGGCACGCAAACGAATATCAACAACGAGCTTAAAGTCTCTTTTCTTAGTTTATGTCTCATTAATAACTTCGTTGACAATTGTTAACAGTTAACGACAGTTTTGTCGTGTATGTACATTTAGATTGCATTTAGATGTGAAAGAACAAGACAAGCCACAGAGAATTGAGAATAAATATTTTTATGAACTAATATGAATTGAATTGAATTGATAAAATTCCAATAATTATTTATGGTCGTTGTTAGAACTTATATTAAAGTTTTACCTGATTTTGTGTTGGAACTATTTGCCACACAACAGGTTGTTCCAACTTGGAACGCATACCGACTCCAAGTGCGACGAAATTTTGTCTATCGCTCCATAGGTTTTCACGATAATTTGCAGTTTCATTTCTAAGAAAGATACAATTACAATTGTTCATCGGGTACAAAATAAATTTTGAAATTATTATTAAAAAAAAATTAATTGTCAATAATAAAAAAGATAAACAGAGAATAATGAATACTGGCATTATACTCGTATCATTTAGGAAATTACCTTGCAAGTTTTTCCTTCTCTGACCTCGTTGCTATAACTTGGCTTTTAGTACGTCCGATGGATGGCGAGATTGAACCACTTCCGGCCACGATCCAGTCGACATCAGGACCTACACGAATGTAATCAATTTGTGCACATGATTCAACATTAACATTGAAAGAGTTTCAATCCTTGAAATTTTCAATACTTCAAAGGAACATCTAAATTTTATTTTCCCAATAATTAATAGTGATAATAGTCGTAAAAATGTAGTAATTTTTTTAATAAATTTTACCTGCAGCTATTTGCACGGTAGGTGAAATCTGCAAACCATACATGACAAGACCATCCGCAGAGACTAAAGGCAGAGATTTTCGTGCCAGACGAGCTCTAATAGCGGACATCATTGCCTCCCCATCATGGTGATTTTCTGACGCTCGTTTTCCTGCTGCTAATATTTCCTGAATGCACGATTAACATTTCTTTAGTATATTAATATTAACGTTATTTTTTAATGAATACACAGAAGAAATTAAATAACAATAATTGAAGGATTTGCATCAAAAAGGAGACAGCTTCACTTATACAATTTTTGCTACATATCCTATTTCATTTAAAAAAAATACAATCTCTCACTTCAAATGATTTTGCCCATGAATCAAGATCACTATAAATTTATAGTACATTTGAAACAGGACTTCGTTTTAATTGCTCTTTCCTTGAATCGTTCCTTGAATTTTTTAATAATTCTAGTGAAGATAAATTATTGCGTTATTTGATGAATAAACATTGGCAAGCATTTTCAAAAGGTTTAATTTTAAAATTAAATTTGATACAGCCTATATAAAATTCTAAATTATCTATGAATATAAAGATATTTTTATGAAGAGAATAAAATACCTCGGATTCATAGATCTGAGCCAATACAGCCAAAGTGTCAAGCGCTGCTTGCCGTACTCTGCGTCGACGATCTCTTACCATCTTAGCTACCTTGTTAGCCACTGCGTCCACTTTGAATTCCGTACTTGGAAATGTTACCAGCGAGAAAATTAACAACTGTAAGGTATTTTCTCTAGTCTGTAGTGAATAAAGAAAAAAATGTTGAACCTTCAATTAAATTCGATTGGAATTGAACTGAACTTGTATAGAGATGCCATCATTATTTAGTTAGGTATTTACTAAAAAGGAAGCAACTAACAAGATTTCTTTCCTCGCGGAAAAAGAATCGGACGCAAGTTAAAAAGAAATTTAAACGTTCGATATTTGAAAGCTTGATGAAAAAGTTACAAAAATTCAATGAACATGCGTTGAGTAAAGGTAATTTTAATTAAATTTAATACACTCGATTGCAAAAGGAATCTCACCTTTGCGTTCCTCGCGTTCAAACACTGCGGCTGTAGAAGTTGTTCCAGAAGAAGAGAAGGTCTCAGTCTAAGCATCGTGATTCTGGTTAATTGAGCTGCGCTTGGACCACCGTGCCTCGCTAAACCCCATGCCAATTGTGGTAAACGTTTCTTCAGAGCCTCTTCACTTACTCCAGCTACGACTACCTGATACCAACAAATGGTCAGAAACTTTCTTGCTATAAAAAATTTGCAAAAAATTATGATAAATCGGAGAAAAAGTAAATCTCGATATAATGTTTCTATTTCGTGACATGTGTCCATAAATGCGTGGAATTTACTGGCACATTATTGAAGTGTTTAAACCCTGATGTGGAATTTTGTTACACCATGTGATGAAAAATGCTTGGAGATCGAATTGCTAATAGAAGTTTGTCATCTAATTTAAAAAAAATTTCAAATTGAACTGATCTCATATATTGCCTTAATACTTTAACAATGATAAATGTGAACTTTACAGTTAATTTAAATTTTGTTTCACGCTTCACCGATATTACATCTAAATTTTAATATAAATGTTCCGCAATGTTACCAAATTTGATTTCCATTTTTAAAAGGCAGGAGCAATGATGACATTTCTTTTGATCAAATTTTAATATGTCATTTCAATCAAGTTTTAATGTTATTCAATATTCACGTGACCAGCAGGTAGCAAGCAAGCTACTGGAATACTTTTTCGTGACCGAAGTGATATTTAAAGACCTTTAGACTTTAAAAAATGTCTAATCACGAGTTGCATTCAAATACCGTAATTTTGTTACTTACTTTTCTAGGACATTACTTTCATAATCTTAACTCTCGTAGAATTTTTAAGATATTCTATAAATAAAAATAACAACAATAATGATTAGAATGACAGTTCATAATAAAAAAAGAAGATTCTAAATTTTTTAATAAAAAAAACAAATGCAGGCCTGATATTTATGAACTGTTTCGCATTAGAACTCGTAAGTGGTAGTCGACATTCTATGTCAGACGTGGGCTACTTATGGACTCTCTTGCTATGGTTAAACTGTTCAGACACGCAGCTTCTATTTTTCTTAAAAAGAAAAATGTGTGTATATATATATATATATATATATATATATATATATCGCATTTATAAAATTTGCATTCCACGTGCAAGGATACTGGTGTGTATGGTTTTTGCATATTGTAAAATATTTTAATACAGAGTATTATAAAATATTATATATAATATTTAGAGAGTATTGTAATAAAATATATATATTAGTATTATAATATAATATAATATATATAATATAATACAGAGTATTATAAAATATTATATTTATCGTACTATAAAATATTATTCATATATTTTTATGCATGTATATAAGTGCATTTTTACATGACGGTAGATTGTGACAATTTAGTAAAAAATAGTTGACGTAAAATATTCATAATATTTTATCAATAAAAATAGACACTCTCATGGTCTAACTTTAATACACATATTGCCCAAATATTAATATAAATGAACAAAAATGTCTATTAAAGTAATAAGTGCCATTATTATATCATAAAATTGATAATAGTGTCTATATAAATAATGTTTTTTACACAGCATGCAGACGTGCTTGAAAAATTTTTGCCACCAGAAAGTATTAAATTAATGTCTCGAGTAAAATTAATAAAATGTTGATGCAATTAATGATTAAT